AACATGCACGCAGAAGAAATACTGAGATATTATCAATGTGGTTTTAGAACCGATCGCTCAACAACAGACTAATGCTTCGTTATGTAACAGATTTTCGAGAAGTGTTATGAGTTCAACATTAACATACATTGTTTATTTATAGATTTTAAACAAGCCTTCGATAAGCTCAACAGAAAATATATTGATTACTATCTAAAAAAAACTTGGTGTACTGCAAAAATAAATTAACTTTATTAATATGACTCCAATGCGTGCACACGCTAAAATAATCCTGAATGGTAATCTTTCAGACAAATTTGAAACCAAATCTGGCGTACGTCAAGGTGATTCTCTATCGACACTCCTACTCAATCTGACTCTACATGCAGCTGTCAATAGATCAAGGTGGCACAATATTTTATAAATCTACACAAATATGCGCCTATGCTGATGATATAGTCATTATTGCAAGAAACAAGGAATATCTTCAAAGCGTTTCCATATAACTAGAGCAAGTTATAAAGCAAACAGGCCTCAGAATAAACGAAGAAAAAACTAAACACATTACAAGATTTCTAAAGCATTTTTTGACCTTATCAAGCTTATGAAATCAACGTTACTATCAAAGGAACAAAAGTTGCGAATATATAATTGTCATTAGACGCGGTTCTTACCTAAGACTGCGAAACATGAACCCTTAAATCCAGTGATAACAACCTGCTACTGAGATTCGAAAGAAAAATACGCAGGAAAATATTTGGCCCGGAGTGCTTAGAAAACACTTCCTGCGGTGAAGGGGTTAGAATATTCCCGTGGTAAGGTATGCCTGTCGTACCAATCCGACACTTGTCTAGGAAGTGCGTACGGTACTGAGTGGCACGGCACTTGCGCCATCTGACCAGAGATGATCCGATCTGGTACTACGGGGGTGAGTGGCCCACAGCTTCGACAGGACTGACCAGTTGAGGTTGGCTTCGTAATGACTGTTGGTTAATACCCAAACTTACACGAGAAGAATGTTCACTTTATGGTTTATATTCGGCGTGGAGTTGCGTATTCACCACGGGGTGTCACAGCCCAAATTGTAGCAGAGGCAATAGGTAGACCTAGCATTAATCCAAGATGGAAGAAATGACTTGCACAAATTCTTCATTGGTACCGGCGGAAGTTACTTCCCATGGGGCGCTGATTGACGCTTTGTATCAAGACGTTGTGCTTTTGAGTACCGTAATGTTGAGCCTACACGGCAGGTAATCACGTTCAAGACTGGACTCCCTGTGCTTAGAAGACGGCACATATCGTACCGTGATGTTGAGCCTACACGGCAGGTAATCACGTTAAAGACTGGACTTCCTGTGCTTAGAAGACTGCACATATCGTACCGTGATGTTAAGCCCACACGGCAGGTAATCACGTTAAAGACTGGACTTCCTGTGCTTGGAAGACGGCACATATCGGATACGGTAAAACGACGAATTGAATGTCTTGAACGAAAGCGGAACTATAACACGATATATAAAAGCCCAAAGATTGAGCTGGTACCGAAGGAATGACTAAGAAAATTTTCGAGACAAAGCCAGAGGGGAGTAGAAAATGAGGACGACCGCGACGAAGATTGTTACAAGATTTAGAAGACAACATACGAACGATGAGAACAACACAGAAAGAAAGCGAAATGCAGAGAAGAATGAAGGCGTATTGTAGAAGAGGTAATGGTCCATCCGGGACTGTGTAACGATTAAAATTTTTAGTAAAATTTGAATGTTATAACGCTTGACACAGAGGACATATTTCATAGTACAACAACATGGGCACAAGAGAAGTCATCTGCATTAGAAATCGGTTACTTAAATTCAATACATTATGACAACCAACTCACCAAAATCCAACCCTGCGGCAGCAGAACTGGCACCCGTGAAAAGCCGTAAGTTTCATGAAACATAATTGGGTAACATGTAAACAATTGTTTGGAAATTTTATTTTTGCTCGAACAATATTAAACTTTAGTTTTCAACTAATTTTATTCACAAAAGAAAAAAGAAACCAGTACCAACACTAGGCATATTATTAAAACGAAGAAAGGATTTGTGGAAGTAGAGCAAAGCTTAAACAAAGAATATATTATGTATTATTAAGAATTGGAAACAGAATAAAAATTAAGGCCTAATTTTATTTAAAAGAATTTTGAACAAACTTCACGAGTACAGGTGGTTATTTAATAAAGAAAAATTGAATATTATTGCCTATACACAAGCAGATTGGGTCTCCAGACAACATTAGATTTGAATTGGAAGTAGCTTTTGATAATTTTGAGGAACCTTCCATGCGGACAGTTGCAACTTTGAGTGATTTATGTAAGTACTGAACGACTAAACTGAGGCTGATAAGGTGAGCAAGATTCAGGGCTTTAATAATGACTGAATCGAAGTTGCACGGGGTATAACACACGTAGCTTTAACAGTCACGTGTGTCTATAACATAGGTGGCTTTTAACAGTAACCTAACGTCTAGGACCCCTGGACCCTCTAACACTGAACAGGAAAGGGCGTGTTGTCAGCAACCTATAATACAACACACGTAGCTTTAACAGTTACGTGTGTCCGCGTTATATCGTGTTGAGTACAGAGTGGTTCAGCTGTATAGAGTAATTTAGTTTGCCTTCAATTCAGGTCTTTAGAATTCAACGGAAGTGTCAGGGTCTCAACAAATAAATTTCTTGTGAGGACCTTTGAAGGGACTGAGTTATCCCAGCTCTAAACGAACCGTTAAAAGGTTAATTACAACTATGATGCCAAAATGATGATGATCTTGTTCATCTTAGCTAAAATTAGTGGACGAGTATGCTGATAACGTTTGTCTATTAAGCGACTTGCAGCAGAGCCTAGAGCAATTAAACAAAAACGCAAAGTGCGCTGGCTTTATAATAAATACCGACAAAACCAAAATTATGAGCAGCGGCTACGGCTCTAAATAGAGATCAGCCGTGACACTAGACAACTGTAACCTTGAATGTGTCGACCGCTTTTCGTACCTGGGCAGTACAGTTACAAACAAGAGTGGCGCGCATGAAAACGTTGCTGCACGTGGCGTTGAAGTCAAATTCGCAATTGGTGTATTGCGAAACTTCTGGCGGACAGAATATTCAACTCTAACGTAAAGTCACTATTGTATTGTCGTGAATATACAATTTAAGTAACTTTTGATAATTTCTTATTATGTCAGTTTATTTAGAAACTAAGTTTTTGATAGAGATATATTGTTGTTATTAAAAATAATAATGTGTGTTTCACAAAATATAGAAGATAATATACGGTTACACTAAGTTCAAGTTACAATTTATATTAATTATCAGAATCTAGTGATTGCGAACGACCACTTAATTAGGGTGGAACGCAACATTATTATGGCTCTTAAACCTGGAAATGCTCAAAGTCAATTGATCAAAACATCCAAGTCTTTATAAACAAGTGCTTGCAGCAGATTCTTAAAATTCGCATATCAAACGAAGAACTTTGGGAGCGAACAGATCATATTTGTGCGAATACTGAAGTTAAAAAACGGAAATGGATAGGGCATACTTTCCGCAAAAATAACACCCATGTTGCGAAACCAGCGCTGAGGTGGAATCTGCAAGTATTCAGCCGTCCTGGTGCCCTCGTCAAAACTTAGCGAAGAACTGTTAAAGGCAAACTAAATGAGATGGGTTATTCGTCGAACACAATATACAGAGACGCAAACAATAGGGTGAGATTTAGAGGAATTGTTGAGGCACTATGCTCCACTGGGAGAAGAGGGCTGCAGTAAGTAAGGCACTATATGGCTCTCTTCCTAATAATATCTATGAAGTTATTTCCAAAAATGTTGGAAATATTCCACATTATTAAAATAATTTAGTTATAAACATTAATAAGTAAACGCTAAAATTACTAAAAAAATTTAATTATATTTGTATTTTTCTTTAGCTCTCGAAACAAATAGCAAGAGAAATGCCGATACCGGCAAATATGTTTTCTTTAATTCAATAAAATAAACAATTTGTATAAAAACAAAACATAGAGAATCTAGTATATATACCGTGCATAATATACACTTATATTTATGTAAAGCACGTATGATTATCGTTAGTAAGCCATGAGGAGCAACAACAAATGCAAACCACCTTCCTGCGTCCTAAAAACAAAATTTGCGACAAGTCAGCTAATGTCAATCAATCAGCTTACACATACGACTTTTGTATATAACAAAAGAGATACATTTTATAGATATTGTATATAATATATAATAATATAAATATAATTATCTCACTTAAGGGAAAAAGAATAAAATAAAAAAACGACACTAATATAAATTTGGGATCAATTTTAAAATATGCTAAATTACAACAATAATCAAATATATATGATCAGAAACTCAGAAGGACATTATAAGACTAGTGAGATGTGGGAAGTGAGGCAATATCACCCAAAAGTTTGTACTTTTTTAAATACTACATTTGTGCTGTCACAGCTGCCATAGCATTTCATTTATCACCGAAAAAATATTATAGATAAATAATACTTTGAAATTACTCTAAATTCAATAGCAAATCAAAACTGATATTAAAAAAGATAATAGATCTAAAATCAGATAACAGAAAGATTTGTTTAACTCAAAAATACTAACCAACCGATCATTTTGTCAATTCACATTATATACTTATTGAACTTACGTCAATATTACGAATTTTTGAAGATCTAATAAAAAATTTTACACTGAAAACCATTTATCTCTACATGTTTATAAAAAATAAATATTATTTATAGGCGCATTTAAAAAAAAATTAGATCAATATATGTGTATGTAGATGTTTACAAATTATGTATATAATATTTAGTGCCACAAAATATATAATAAGATTATAATAAAATATTTTTAGGATAATTGAATAATTAGTAGATAATTGTATAAATCTAAGATAATTGGATAAATATTGGATAATAAGAAAAATTTATAATTCAACAACTATTATTCAATTACTCGGGACAAATTCATTAGTATATACATTGGTTTAAAGTACATTAAAATTTAATTTAAACCAAAATCATATTAGGCTTCAATATTTATCCAATGATCCTTTAACACTTTTTTTTGGAAATAATTATCAAAACCGCAGTAATCGTAAAAATTTTTAGCACAGCTTTTATAATGTAGTATTATTTGCCAACAAAATCAATTTGTATTGTTTAAATAGGATTTTTGTCTTAATTAGATTAGCACATATTGTTAAGAAAATGATAATAGTAAAAATATTTTAGCTTATCTGTTTTTACTCCTCTCCGGTGAGATGATCCTAGACATCTTACATCGGTATTTATGCGGTATTTTGTAAATTACTGGTATTACTGGAAATTACTGGTATTGAAATGATTTCAATTTGTTGTACTTAAATAGTGGTTTAAAATTTTGTACTGCTTTTAGAAGAAAGTTAGCATTGACAACCTAAAATCGAAAGAAAAATCATTTATTAATTTTGAAATAATTACATATATCAAACGAAAATATTGATAATTGGTGACCTACTCAGTATCTCCTTTGCGACCGACCATCACCTAATAAACAAAAGATGATGAAATATTGTCAAGCTTTGAACTATAATGCATAGGAAGCAGTTGCACTAATATTTTTGGAAAACTCTTTTCCAACTATTTAAAATTTCCTTTTAAAATGCTTTTATTATTTATTTATTAACTGGATATAGGTCACTTTTATTTCAATAAAAATTAAAAAACATTAAAAAAAATAATAAAAAAATCCTTAATTGCTATTTATTAAATAATTCTATATTTCGACCTCTCTTTGATGTCATCATCAGAAGCATGATCTAATAAAAAATAAAAATTAATTAATAATGTCACATTCCATTTTAGTTATCTATTGTTCAGTGCAATATGGACATTAGACAACTAGATTTTTTAATTTTTATTGAAATAAAAGTTTAATTTCCTTTTAAATAAGGAATATACGTTCATGAAAACCATCTGTACTTAGAAGAGCTAAATTACTAGGAGAGCGGAATTCTTAAAACCCTATGAAGCTGAAATATATTATCAGAGGATACAAATGCAACATGACTCAGCTTCATCCTTAAACATAACCTAAAATAAGAAGTTTTTAAAAGCTTATTTTTAAAAAAAAATTCAAAATAAAAACAATATGTAAGTATATATTCTGAAGTCAAAATATCAATAAGTCAGTAAAGACTAACCTTCTAGAAGATCTAAGTTAGCTATAACAACTATTCTGAAAGTATTTAGATTTGATCAAAGGTCTGAAACGATCTTAAACCTGAGTAAATTTTGGCGAACGACGTAACGTGGTATTCTAACCATTTGAATAATTAATTTGTTACCCTAACTTACTAGATTACTTATTTTACCGTTTGCAAACTAACTGTCTTTATAATCCAAATCCACCTTCACAATCGTTTTCAAATTCATTATCTTAAATTATAGTGAAAATAATATACTTACTATTTATATAATCAAAATTTCCTAACTTCTGTTCACATTCAGTCCAAACTGTTATGAAATATATTTTTAATCCAGGATATCGGTTCACCAAATGTAGTATTCATAATATTAAAAATATTTGCTCATCTCCAGTATTATTTTGTTATTCGTCTGTTGGAGATTCAATATGAAAGCTTTACGCATTTGAGACGTTATCTGATCAAGTAAACGTCTTACGTGTTATCTTTTGCTGAAAGATTGAAACATCTCAAGAGGAAATTTGGTCGAACTGTCACTTCAGTATACGCATTTATCATTTCATTTATTTCGATGAATTCACGACATACATTTTTTGTGTAACTCTGTTGGAACAAGTTTATTCATATTAGTAAATCTTCTCGGCATATTTTTACTAAAATATACTATATATACTCTAAATTGTTTACATACAGTTAAATAATAATAATTAGACTGCTTCACAAGAAAAAAATATTTTTCTTTTAAACAAACAAATTAACAAAAACTGAATAATAATTTATTGACAAACGAATTTTAAACTGTATTCATAACACTACTTCATATTATATCTTAATAAGGAAGCTGTGTACAGGGTTGTTAATAAGTTTGCGAAACATGATATATTCGTCATTATCGAACTGAAATTTTCATCTAAGCGGGTAGCCAGAAAACCAGGATAATGGACCAAAAAACTATTTTCCCACATGAAAACCAAAAAAGTTTTGCTAAGCATCTACTATATCAACAAAGGTGTAGTTGCTGCATCATATTTTCTGAGGGACGTTATCTTTCAATTATGAAATGTTATATCAGACACACTTTAAAAGTTGCATTTACATTATCTACGTTCAGGACATCCAAGCAGTTTATCTACATCAGAGAAATTGCACTAAAAAGCTTTTGATGTGATTTACAAGAAGTCCTATACATTTTATTGGAAATAGTGACCAATATGTGTGAAGAGCTGTGTGCGCAATAAAATGAAAACAAATTCTAAAGCGACGTTTTCAGAAAAGACTGAAACTTCCTATAAAAGATAAATCGGATTTTATATGTCGTTTCATCCACATAGACAAGACTTGCATTTACCACAATGTTCTTAAATCAAGACAACAGCAAAGGCTAAGGAGTGGCGTGAAACCGGCCGTTTGAGGGCAAAAATCGACCAAGAATGTGTAACTTCAATTTTTATGTTAATGAAACGACCACTACTGGTATAAATAAAATCAATTAGCGTGATTGCCACATTCAGCCCCACGACAACTATCGTAGAGAAGTATCCGGTAAATACTTACAGAGAAAAGACCAGTAAATTAAACGATCACTAAATTAAGTAATTGAAATTGAGAGAAATTATATTGAAAAAAATTCATTTGTACAACTAAATATCTATTTTTATATTTTTATTCCCGGAACTTGTTGAACAGCTTAGTATTTTATAATAGAAATAGTACAGTTCAGTTTTTGGCAGATATGAATACTTAGGTTCTCGCATCATGACCTATTATTTACTTAAGCATTTAATGAATTATTTATAAAAACGGCAATGGCAGTTACAAATATATATGATATATTATATTTTTAATGTACCTTTGACTAGACCATATCCCAAAAATATTTTACTATTAAGTCCCCTGGAACTCAATGTAAGTATTTCGCATTCATCACTGGATTTGTCCATTTCATCTGACTAAATAAACAGCCTCAATGACCGATTTCAGACATTTTTTTACAATTCCAGATTTGGAAAATTCTAAGCATATTTTAACTGAAATAATTTAAATAGAAAAATATCATTAATTTTATTATAAGAATAACATTATATAATAAAGTTCTGAAAAAAAATTTGAGTGGGTATTTAATTTACATTTTGCTCTGTAATACAATTATTTCAATCGCTTCTCATTCATTTGCTTCGTTGTTTTATTGCTTTCTTTACTTCAAACTTGCAACAGAATGTCAATATTTAAAAAGAAAAAAAAATAAAGAAAATATTGTAGAAGAGACAGTGTTTACAATTTACATATACTGTATATTTCTTGCCTATTAAAATATGCGCAATTTGTTAAAAATAAATATTAATTTAAAAACATACACATAAATAAACAAACTCACTGAAAACAAATCATTTATTCGGAATTGATATTGAAAAATGTTACTATGTTACGGATAAGTGTGAGGCACATAACACAATAAATTCAAGTTAGATGCAATGCATAAAGACTACGCAGAGCAAGACAAAAATATACCGTTTGGTAAGGGTTTATGCGTGTGAGTGTGTATGTGTGCATGCAGCCATTTGCGTACTACGCATTAAATTGCCATTTGTAAAATCTTATTTTTGATTGGTTCACATAGAAATTTAATGGTTCATAAAGAAACACAAAAAAGGAAAACAAAATGGAAATTAAAAGACGTATAACTTGAAGAAAATGTTATGGTGTATTTCCAATTAAAAAAAAATACGAAGCACATATTTAAATTGTTCTTATTTTAAATACAAAAACGTTTATTTACTTCAAAATCAGTTTACTTGGGTATTACTAATTTAATGGTAATATTTATTTCAAACAAATAAAAATATTTAACTACCGTTCACCTTTAATAAAACAAGCTACACTACATTTATGTGTCTTTACCTTGTTCAAACATAATTTAAAAATTCACAATGATCACCACTACCACTCAACAAGAAAATCTTAACCAGTCCACTCGCCAAATCAAACACGACTGGTATTGATATTTCCCAAATATTCTGGAATTCATTGCAGAAACATTAAAACAAAGGGTGCCAGATTTAATAAAAACAAATTTGAATATTTAATAAAAAAACCTTTTGCCAGATTTATTAAAAACTTTGAATATTTAATTAAAAAACTTTTGCCATATTTAATAAAAACTTTTGATATATCCGATTGTATCATTATTATTATCATTATATTATCATTATATATTATATTTAATTTTAATTTATATTAATAAATAACTATAATTTTAATTAATAAAAATTTATTTTACTTTCAAATGTGGTAAAAACTCATGAACTGTTTAAAGTTTAGCAAAAATAAATGTTAAAAACATTCTTATAAATATTAGTATTATTATAATTCTTTACAAAATTAATAATATAATTATTACTAATACGAAATAAGAAAACCAAATAAAATTAACCATAAAGATAATTTTTTACATACAATTTATCGCGAAAGGTACGGATTTCTACAGGAATTGTGATCAAAATTTAAACTTCTCGCCATTACCGACAATCTTTACGGATAAGTGCAAAGCAAATAATAAAATAAATTCAAATTAGAAACAATACGAATACAATATGCAATGCAAGACAAAAACTAACCGTTTCGTGTGGCGTCATGCATTTAAGTGTGTATGTGTGCATGCAGCCACTTCCGTACTAGGCATTAAATTTCCATACAGTAAATTCTAATTTCTGATTGGTTCCCATTCAAAATTAATGGTTAATAGAGAAAAATAAAAAAATTAATAACTAATGAACTGGAAATTAAATCAAGTACAACTTATATAAAATATGATAGTGTATGTGTTTTCAATTTAGGTAAAGAAATATGAAGCATATATTTAGTTATTTTTAATTTAAATAGAAAATCATTTATTCAGTTCAAAACATATTTATATTTACTTGTTCATTATTCATTTTTAGTAATATTTATTTCCAACAAATATATGTAATCAGATTTATCTTTCAAAACAGACTTCACTTTGTTTAAAAATACTTAAAAATCCACATGAGCACTGACAACAAAACCACGACCACTCAACTCCGCGAATCAAACGCGACTGAGATTTTGCGAATTCTGTGGAATAAATATTCTGCCATTCCTTGTAGAAATTTTGAAACAAAGGGTGCCAGATTTATTAAAGAAAAGTGGAGAATTTTAATATATCTGAGAATATGAAATTAAATACTTAAATTCCTATTATATTAAATCTGTATAAAATAAAATTTTTTTTTATATTTTCATCAAATATGGCACAAATTTATGAACTGATTAAAGTTTAATAAAAAAATGTTTAAGTTATTATAAATAATTTTCTTACGTAAATTAGTATTATTATAATAAATTAAAAAATTAGTGATATAATTATTACTAATGGAAAACCAAAAGAAACACCAAAGAATATTTGGTGCAAAGAAAACTGTTTACATAGAAGTTATTGCAAAGCATACGAATTTCTATAAGAATTGTAACTAAAATTAAGGGTTTCATTATCTTATCGACAATCTTTACGGATAAGTGCGAGGCACATAACATAATAAATGCAAAATAGAAGCAATGCGTATAAAGTATGCAAAGCAAGCCAAAAACATACCGTTTTGTGGTGAATGACTTTCTTAAGTGGGTATGTATGTGTGCACACAGCTCTTTGCTTGCTATGAATTGAATTCACAAACAGGAAATTCTTACTTTTGATTGGTTCCCATTCAAATTTTATACCTGCCACTATATAAAACCAAATTAAATGTATGTATAAAAAATTTATGCAAGTATAGCCCAAGTAAAACAGATAGTTTGTGTTTCTAAGTCACAGAAAGAAATATACAAGTTTCTTGACAAGTTGAACTTGTTTGAACAAAAAAAACTTTAGAAAACTTGGAGTTTTTGTTAAAAATCGGTTTGTCGTAACGAGAGTTGTGAATTGGCTTTGCATTAGCCGATGCAGTTTTACTAGTGTGCTTTCTTTCTTTTTTGTTGATTTCCGTACAAATAATGCAAATTGTACAAATTGTGACTCTCAGCTGGCGGACCTCACTATTTACTGGACATGGCAACTTCAAGAATCACCTCAAAATGATAGCTCTTGCTGAGGAAGGCACTTGCAGACTATGTCTAGAAGAAAAGGAAACAGCGGTGTATATATTGTGCCAATACCCAGCACTGGCAAGTAGGACCAAGACTGTCTTGGGACACCATTGTGTTGGTGATGACTTGGCAGGAAACCTCGAGCTAAATGAGCTGCTGGCTTTAACAAAAGTTGTAGTTATGCGAACGGAAGCCACACCAGCTTTAACTTAATAACGACAACCGGGAATCAAAAGACTAAAAAGTACCCAAGTCGTTTCGTGGTCTACTTCGACTAATCCTTCATCTGAGTAGGGCCACTTGTTGGACACTGCGCTGTCCCAACGTCCCACCATATATATATACAAAACGTGTGAGTGTTTCTAATTATAAAAAAATAAATAAAAATACATAAATATACACATAACTATGTGAAGTTATTAGCAAGAACACTAAATATAATGCTCACCGCTTTTGTTTGTTTCATTCCTATCAAATACGCGGGCGTGGTTGGTTGTGCAATTTGCTTGTCCTTATCCCAGTAGTCCCTACCGTAAGCACATGAAAAAGATATGCCTAACATTTCATCTTCTTACAAAAGAAAGTGAGAAATCATCATACTAGTAGAATGTACTGGTAATGTATCGTCATGCGGCTAGCGAGAAAAAACCTTTACTCTTCGTGAAATTAACCGAAGGACAAATATTTTTTGTCATATATGTATGTTGTTTCTAGTTTTTCGTTGCGCATTGCTATTGTGATTTTTTTTCAATTATTGTTAAAATTGTTAAAATAATATATTAATTATTGTTTTTCATTTGGTTTTCCATTCGGCATGCTAGTGTAATATGGCGTTTACATTGACCGAAAATAGCTCATTTCGAATGAGCCATTTGAAAGTGTTTACATTCTTTGTAATTCGTTTGTTCTCAAACAGCTGATTTTTCAACTTGCCTGTTGATTTGAATTTTGGCCTGTGCCAAAAAAATGTTGCATGAAGGTTATATATGCCTTCAAACCTTACAATATAAACTTAAAACATATTTTTAACTTCGATTAATTCCTTTTTGAAGAGCTTCTATTTAGGGTATGTTCAATGTATTCCTTAGCATATGGAACGTATTTGGAACGTATGCGAACGTCGTTGGGACGCATTCATACAGAATGTGATGGAATGGCTCATTCGCGCTTGAAATTTTATATGCAAGAATGAGCCATTCGCTTTTCATTTTCGATTTTTGACCAAAATGAGCCATTTTCGGTTAGTGTGAATGCCGTATAAGTTAAAAATTAAATTGAAAAACTTTACTTAATATACTTTATTTATTATTTCTCTGTTTCAGTCTGCAGTTCACTTCCTGTTTCCAGTTTAAATATTTATTTATTATTTTAATAATAATTATTATTTATTTATGTTTTAATTTAAGTTGTTAGTTATAATTTTTCTTTCCGTTTCGTTTTTTTTTTGCAATTGTGCTTTATATATAAATTATAATAAAAAACATATTTGAAACTATACTCGTATTGTATTATATTTAGTTTATTAAATCTGTAATATATTTATAATACCTCAATTTTTGTCATTTCTATTTATTTTTCTAATAAATTAAACTAAAGTATATATTGATTTTTAATTTTTTTTATAAAAATTTATTTTAGGGCAAATAAATGTAAAATGCAAAAGCAAGTAACAGCCTTATATGGCGTTTATACTGGCCGAAAATGGCTCATTTTGAATGAGCCATTTGAAAGTGTTTACATTCGTGTATTTCATTTGTTCTCATTTCAAACAGCTTATTTTTCAACTTGCATGTTGATTTGATTTTTGGCCTGTGCCAAAAAAATGTTGCATGAAGGTTAAATATGCCTTCAAACCTTACAATATAAACTTAAAACATATTTTTAACTTCGATTAATTACTTTTTGGGAAGTTAAAGTTCTAAAAAGAATTGCATCGTTTTCAAGAAAATGCAACAACCAAACATTTGTTTACCTTTTTTTGTAAATATGTCAAAAACAGCTTTCTCAAACCGTCAAAATGCTATGAAAAGCTTTTATTTATGGTATGTTCAATGGATTCCTTTGCACTTGGAACATATGTGGAATGCATTCGAACGTCTTTCATACAGAATGTGAGAAAATTGCTCATTTTTGCGCTTGAAATTTTATATGCAAGAACTAGTCATTCGATACTCATTTTCGATTTTTGACCAAAATGAGCCATTTTCGGCCAATGTAAACGCCATATTACAACCTACTGATATCGTCAGCTACAGAAGAAGATAGCCTTCTTTTAGAAGCAGGTCGTAAGGCAGAAAATGATCATCCCCATATTTTTCGTGCATAAGAATCGCTCATTAAGACTAGTTTACGTTTTCATGCTCACCACATGCTTCCATGGTAAAATGCATTTTGATTCGTAAACGAAATTTTACGAATGTCAATTCCGCATTACATTCCGCTTACCTTTTGCACTTTACCAAGTCATGCATGATTTCCACGGCAAACTATTGATAAAAGTCATGTAAGGGAAGATAGCAGCATGATGGTCCCTACTGAGTTCTTACGGTATTTGCCAACTAACTGAGCCTTTACTCTATTTATTAATTTCATTATATTACGTCCATCATACGATCCAATCTAGATTTACTTACGATCTGTTAAATTTTGTTACCCAATCTAAGATTTATAGAGTATTCTAACACTTTTGCAGTAATGTAAGAAGATCTCTATATATTTCTCATAAATACATATGTATATCGAATTAAAAATCACTCTTTTTTTGTTAGCTATTAATTTCAAGGTAAAGGTAAAAGCTTTCATAAGTTTTTAAAAGTATTATTTTTATTATTAAATGCGCAATCTTTCAATCAGTCACATGTGATTGAAAATTTGTTATTTTGCCCTCTTGGAAAACCAAAAATGATTAGCCAACCCGGCCTGTAAATGTATGCTAAATAGCAAGTGTTCGGAAGTACTGTTGCAATAAGTTATAGCTAAGGACAGTTACTAGTTGATGGATAAATATATAGTGTTTAAAAATAATGTTTACTAATACTGATAAAAGTCCTCAAAAAATACTAATATCAGTAGTTAAATACATATTAGTTCCATGTAGCTACGAGTAAGTTAATACTTAAATGACCATACATTGTATATAACAATTTCAAATATCTATATGAATAGTTGCTATTTTTATTATTTTACTTATCATCTGATAAACTTTCTGAAATCAGTTAAAAACTTTCGTAAAACTTCATTTACGAATCAAAATGCACTTTACCATGGAAGCACCGCTACGTGGTAGGGGGTTACCTGGGTGTATGAACGACCGTGCCCAAGGATGAATGGCACTTCGTGAGTGTGTCTTTGAATGGTAGACTCCGGATACCTGGCGACCTCCGGTTTCAATTAGTCTTTCCGAAGTAAAGGGGGCTATGCCTCGGACGACCTCCCTCTCCTATAAATGTTCGTGGGAACATTTATGGACTCTTTTACCAACATAAATACAAAAAAAAAACAAACACGGAACTAGGTACCAGTTCCAAAGATGAGCTCTTGGCATCAAGTCAATAAAAAGCGAGTCGAAGCCACCTTACCAGACCACCCTATCGAAACCCGCAAAGGCGATGAAGATAATCGATCTCAGGACGAGACGGCCCTTACTTCAAGAAGTAAGGTTGCGAAAACAACTTCTATCAGCAAACTGTCAACGAGCGTGAAAAAGGCGTATAGCGACGTAGCAAGGGCTGAACTATAGGTGGCGCTCATTGATGACATTACCGGCAATGAGAAAATAGTGCTGGAGAAATGGGGTGAGAACTAGAAGTCCCCACGCCAGGCTTTGACTCATCGGAAGTGGTTCGTGGCTGCAGTGTCTTCAAATGCGATGACCAGCTATCCAAGACATTTCTTGGCAACTGCATTACTAAGGTAAGTGATGCATGGGAAGGTTTAAGACTTAAGCTTATCCCAGCTTACGAAATTCCAAGAAGACCAAGGGCCCGCATTTATTTGGTTGCCAAATATGAAAATGGAA